CTGGTTCGGGGGGGGGGTCATGGGGTCAGCACCCACCCGGGATGGGGGGCAGAACCCACCCGGGGGGGCAGAACCCATCCAGGGGGGCAGAACCCACCCGGGGGGGTGTCATGGGGTGCCCACGGCGTGTGTGTGAATTGGGATCTTCCAAGACCTTCTCCAGGGAAGATCCTCTCCAGGGATTGGGAATTGGGTCTCCTCTGGGGCCACGGGGTCCCGCTGGTTCTGGGGGGCACCGGGGGGTTGGCACCCTCCTGGGGGAGGGGTCAGCACCCACTGAGAGGACTCAGCACCCACCCAGGGGGGCACAAGGGTCAGGGGGACATTGGGAACCCCATGAGCCCGTCCCAGCTCTGCTCCACATCCCACAGGATCTTCTCCAGATCCAGGGGGTCCTGATGGTTCTGGCGGGGGGACATGGGGTCAGCACCCACCCGGGATTGGGGTCAGCACCCATTCAGGGGGTCAGCACCCACCCGGGATGGGGGGCAGAACCCACCCAGGGGGGTCAGCACCCACTTGGGGGCCAGGGGGACATTGGGAACCCCATGAGCCCATCCCGACTCTGCTCCACATCCCAAAGGATCTTCTCCAGATCCAGGGGGTCCCGCTGGTTCTGGGGGGTCATGGGATCAGCACCCACATGAGTTTGGGGTCAGAACCCACCCAGGGGGGTACGAGGGGTAGAGGGGTCATTGAGGACCCCACACACCCGTCCCGGCTCTGCTCCACATCCCAAAGGATCTTCTCCGGATCCAGGGGGTCCTGATGGTTCTGGGGGGTCATGGGGTCAGCACCCACCCGGGATTGGGGTCAGCACCCATCCAGGGGGGTCAGAACCCACCCAGGGGGGCCCAAGGGGCAGGGGGATCATTGGGGACCCCACACTCCCATCCTGGCTCTGCTCCACATCCCAAAGGATCTTCTCCAGATCCAGGGGGTCCTGATGGTTCTGGGGGGCCCATCCTGGCAGGGGCTGATCCCAGGGGGAAATAGGAGCCAATCCCAGGGTTTATGGGATCCGATCCCGGGGGGAAATAGGAGCCAATCCCAGGGTTTATGGGATCCGATCCCGGGGTGCTCCAGGATTTGATCCTGGGATGCTGTGGGGCCAAGTCCTGGGGTTCTCTGGGATCCAATCCCAGGGTTCTGTGGGATCTGACCCCGGTGTTCTACAGGGATCCAGTCCTGGGATTCTGTGGGATCTAAACCCAAGGTTCTGTGGGATCCAGTCCCGGGTTTCTGTGGGATCTCGGGGTTCTGTGGGATTCAATCCCGGGGTTCTGTGGGATCCAATCCCAGGGTTTGATGGGATCCAATCGCGGGGTTCTATGGGATCCAATCCCAGGATTCTGTGGGATTCAGTCCTGGGGTTCTGTTGGATCTGATCCCAGGGTTCTGTGGGATCCAATCCCGGGGTTCTGTGGGATCCAATCCCGGCGTTCTGTGGGATCCAATCCCGGGGTTCTGTGGGATCTAAACCCAGGGTTCTATGGGATCCAATCCCAGGGTTCTGCAGGATCCAATTCCAGGGTTCTGTGGGACCCAATCCTGGGTTTCTGTGGGATTCAGTCCTGGGGTTCTGTTGGATCTGATCCCAGGGTTCTGTGGGATCCAATCCCAGGGTTTTGTGGGATCCAATCCCGGGGTTTCTGTGGGATCCAGTCCCAGGGTTCTGTGGGATCCAATCCTGGGTTTCTCTGGGATCCAATCCCGGGGTTTCTGTGGGATCCAGTCACGGGGTTCTGTGGGATCCAATCCCGGGGTTCTGCAGGATCCAATCCCAGGGTTCTATGGGATCCAATCCCAGAGTTCTATGGGATTCAGTCCTGGGGTTCTGTGGGATCCAATCCTGGGTTTCTGCGGGATCCAATCCCAGGATTTTGTGGGATCCAATCCCAAATTTCTGTAGGATCCAATCCCAGAGTTCTCGGGGCCCCCCCAGGTTCTCCATTCCCCCCCCCTCCGTCCCCCCATCCCAGCTCGTTCCCCACCTCCAGGAATCCCGGGAATTCCTTCTCCATGAGGGCCCTGAGGTCCTCCTTGGCCAGGTGATCCTTGTCCCCCGCGTACTTGTGGAAGGTGAACATGAGGGTCTCCATGGCGTGTTCCAGCTGGGACGGCATCCTGGGGGGCTGGGGGGGCACAAAGGGGGGGGCACAGCTCAGCGGGGCACCCCAAAATTCCATTGGGTGTCCCAAAATTCCACCCGGACACCCCAAAATCCCCCCAGACACCTCTGACCCTGCTGAGCCCGGCCCCGCTCATCACACGGATGGGATGGATTTTGGGGGGCACGGGGGGGGCACAGCTCAGCAGGGCACCCCAAAATTCCCTCGGGGATCCCAAAATACCCCTCGGGTATCCCAAAATACCCCTGGACACCTCAGACCCTGCTGAGCCCAGCCCCGCTCATCACACAGATGGGATGGATTTTGGGGGGCACGGGGGGGGCACAGCTCAGCAGGGCACCCCAAAATACACTCGGGTACCCCAAAATCCTGCTGGACACCCCAAAATACCTCTCGAGTACCCCAAAACTCTCCTGGGTACCCCAAAATCCCCCCGGGTACCCCC